TTTGAAGGCAGAGCTGGGAATAGACCCCAGGTGTTCTGCTTCCCCGTCCTCTTGTTTTGACCCTAGACTATCTTTCTGCAGCAAAATGTTTCCTCTTTTTAAAACCTGCCGTGCTGCCCTGGGAAGTTCAATCAGAAGGGATCTTTCAGTAAAGCCCCAGGCATCAAAGCAAGCAAAGTCCCTCTTGCATTTGTGTTTATGTGGCCATGGGGCCTTTTTCCAGAAATCCCATTTAACAGCGTCTCATTTGTGCCACAGCGAAGAGTTTTCTTCCTTGTTCTGCCTGCATCACCCAGGGTCTGCCCTTGATGGTGACATCCCAGCTGTTGCTTTCCTTGTTGTGTTTTCCTACCTACGCTCAAGACTGCAGAGGGCTGTCAAGAAACCAACAGGGGATGTGGCAGCCCTATGCCGCGTCTACCCAGAGAGCAGCACCAACACCGTCTCTTCTGTTTGCGCTCGGGGGCTTTGGCAGCTCCTAGCTGGTGGGTGTCTGTCACCATTCTCGTCATGGAAAACTCTTTAAGTATTCCAGATCTGGCCCTCAAAAGACAGGGATAGTATTAGGCTGTCCACAGTTCAGGCCCTTGTGGTTAGTAGGTTTTGATTTCCAGTCTTGTTTTTGTTGCTCTGCGATCATTAGGCACGCTAGGAAAAGGACAGCAGGGAAACCAGCAACACAGCAGGAGCTGGAAACCAAATGAAGCCTAAGGAATTCAGTGGTGAATACCAAGCTGGTGATCATGGTGCTGGTATGCGCTGGACTGGAAATGATTTGGGGCTCCAGGCTACAGTTTTTTTTTCTTCTTGATTTCACCTAGTTCCTAGTCCTACTGGATAATATGGAGCCCAGCAGGTATGAACTCGGCCCTAAGCTTCCTAAACAACCTTCCAGCTGTAGGAATGATGTATGGAGATGCAGCTAAAAAGGTGATGGGTGCCTGCTGGAATGGAAGATAGCCATTCTGGATGAGGGGAAGAGCTTCAACTACAAATATTGGTACAGATGATAACTGTGACAATGACACATGGGAAGGAGAAGATGGATCGCTAGCTATTAGCAGGCATTATTACAAGCACTGCAATGTATCATGTAGGAACGGAGATGATGCATCACACCAGTGCATTTATTTAAAAGAAATATTTTCTTGAATAAATCAGTTTTTAAAAATAGATGGACCTGCATTGCTGAAAAAGCCCCACCCCCAAATAGATTAGCACAGTGAGGCTTGCCTGGGTATATTCTGGAGCCGCTGGTGGTAGTGCTATAGTTTTGGTTGAGTTTTACAGTTGAATATATTTATATGTAATTAATAGTCAGAGTGAAAAACACAGCTTGTAAAATACCAGGCAGCTGTTTGATCTTCCTGCATCTCATGTACTTCTGAAGGTCATGATCTCAGGAGGTTGACTTCAGTGAGGGCTCTAGGCAATCTGCTGCTTGCAAGATTGAGCCCTGTCATTACTATTACTTATTTATTAGTATTTATTCTAAGCAAAACTTTCAGAGGCATCTATAGGACTTAAGAGTCCAAAAGAGAAGCTTTCAAAGGAGCAGATGGCAGTCAGGTGCTTAACCCTCACAGGTACTGAATAGGAGCGAGGTCCTTCCATGCCATTTGCACCTTTTGACCTGCAAAACGGCTTCAAAGCATCACGTGCCAGCATGAGCTTACTCCTAGCTTGGTTTAGGCAGCATCTAGACCAGGGGACCCACTCAGCCACAGGGGCTGAGACTATGCTCAGCTCATTGCAGTCACTGACAGCAGTGGATAAAATCCTGGCCTTATGGGAGTTTGGCCATGGACTTCAGCGGGGCCAAGGACCTCCTCCACTGGATACAACATGTAGTGGGAGGGGTTAGATGAGGGACATGTCGTTCATCAGCACAGCATGAGCACAGATAACTAGCTTCGAGTCCCTTTTTAAAGGTATAAATAGGGTCCAAGTTGAGTTGAAAGTAGAGATTCCCAAGCTGAGAGTCATCTCTTTTCCTTATTCTCTCCTCCGGACCCTGAAGACACTGGGGTTGTGCTGAGCTACAGCATTTGGCTCATCTTTACATGCACTCTCTTTTATTTTTGGCAGAAGGAGATATTTTTTGTGCAGCAAGGATGTTTGTTTGCCCTCTTCGAAGCTTCCCGAAGTAGGCCTCCCCTTCAACTGCGGCTCCGCAGAATATCCGATTAATCTCTCTGCCTCATAGGTCCTCTGGCATGGATGCGTTAATGCATCTTGTTGGGTCAGTCAGCAGTTTGCCTTGGGTTTCATACAGGAGCAATAGTTTGTATTTTTCTAGGAGGAGTTAAAGAGGATATATTCATTTAGCACAGCGAGAGTACAAGGCACAACAGGCTTGAGGTGCAGGGGAAGGGGATTCAGCCATTGTCCAACCCAAATTTGTCTCTGGAAAACACTAAAGGTTAAAAATATTTGTTTCTCTTGCAAACACAATGATTTGTACTAAGCGGAGAGCAGTTGAGTCTTTTCCCAGGGAGGGGTTTGGCCCCCGAAACATTGGGGGAGTTGCTCCATGAAGGTGCACTGACATAACACCAGACTGGACTGGCTTGAGACTACAGGCTCTCAAGCCCAGAGGCCATCAGTTAATCATTGGCTTGTCAGTGCATGGCACTGATGTACCAGTCCTTGAGTGGGACCATTAAGTGCTACTGCAGGGTAAAGAAAGGGACACCACAGTGACCAAATCAGACTGTAATGGGCACCCGTGTAAGTTGAGATGAAGTGTGACAGGTGTCTTTCAGCCTGGCAAACCCTCAGCCATCAAAAATGATGAGACAGGTCCCCCAAAACATGACTTAAAGGGGAAAAAAGAAGAAATGTTGGTTTCTTTCATTTGCCTGCTGACTTTCTCTGTCTAGGCTGTGTTTTCAAACTTGGCTTCATAACCGTGTGGGCTAAAAACTCACTAGACAGACAAACTTCTTGGGCATTCATAAGACTCCCAAGAGCTGATGCACTAGGAATGCTGCTGGGACTTACCTGTCCTCCCTGTACCATAGGGGCAGACAAAATATGGCCCAGGGCCACACCCAGCACACCAGGCCATTCTATCCAGCCTGCAGGGCCCCTAAAAATTTTAGAAAATTAATATTTACTTGCTCCTGGCTGCCTGTCAAAAATGACAGGAGCCAATGCCAGTAGGGCCCAGGAGAAGCCAGTGGCAGGACTGAGCAGCAAGGCCCACCTAGCCCTGGCCCCCCAACTGGAAGCCCCTGCCTAGCAGAGGCTTCTGGCCTGGGACCCCAGGGCTGTTCCTGTTTCCCTGCACCAGAGGGAAACGTGGCCCTCGACAGCTTGCCCAAAACTCAGTAAGCGGTCCTCCTCAAGAAATAATTGCCCGACCCTGCTGTACCACCTTCTTCGGTCCTGATGTCCCCTTTCCTAGGCTTGTGTGAAGCTCACTGACGTCAACAAGGCTCTATGCACATGCTGGGCTGGATCCATGTGGATCTGATTGCAAGGTACCTGTGGGACCTTTGTTTGCACAGCATCTGTCATAGTGGGGTGCAATCAAATCTTAACACAAACATGAGTCCTAGCAAGGAAAAGAGTTGCAGCTATGCCATTGACTCTCTTTCTCCATTCCCCTTCCATCCATCTCAAGCCTTCCCCTGTCCCTTTTGGTTGTGTATACATCTCTAACATTTCAGTGACTGGTAGAAGTGAAGGGTTGTCAGCAGAGCTTTGAAAACAGGATGTGCAATGCTATCACCCACTGAGTTGAAAGACGGCCTTGGCTTAGAGCTAATGTGCAGTAAGAGACAAAGCCTTGTGTTTCAGTTGCAAGCTTGCCATGGGCTTATCTGAGTTAAAAGGGAGGGGGAGTGGGGTGTCTGCCCTAATGCTCTCTTAGAAGCAATGATCAGTGTAAAGTTGGCCTGACAGTGCAGGTCTCAGCTACCTACCTGTTTTTAACCCTGGAAGGTTTTGCAGGCCCACTTAGGACTTCAGCCTGAGTAAACGGTGGTGTGGGTGACAGAGTCAAGGTTTGATGCAAGATGCATACAAGAGGGTGCAAGTAGGCATGCGTTCAGCAGTAGAAAAGCAGAACTGTTTGGATCCTGCATTGAATTATTTTCTTGTGCATCTCTGATGTGGGGCGTAATGATCAAAGACTTCGTATTGTGCCACTTGTTTGTGCCTCTGCTAGTGCACTCAGGTCCTCATCCTAATTCCAGTTTTTGAGTGCTGTTCTAACACCACTAAAGCACCTTAACAGCTACGGCTGAAGGCTACTCTGTGGGCAGAGTGCATCTTTGGTGGTAGCAGGTACAATTCTGTAAGCTGCATGTGCTTACATCAGGCCTGAAGTTCACGTACCACATGCTCAGCTGGTGTCAGCTGGCTTAGATTCATTGGAGTTAAGAAATCTGCTGATTTTAATACTAGCTTCAATCCGAGCTGAACAGAAATGTCTGACTTAGCTGGAAACCCTGGTGTTGATTGACTAAAATAGTAACCAGCTATCAAAGTGCCTGTCGATGTTTATTTAAATATATTGATTTACTGGATTTTAGTAGTGCTGCAGCTAATCCAGTGGCGTATTGTGCAAGGCGATCCCCCCCCGCCATTACATTTGCAATCTAACAGATAGACAAAAGATGGGTAGGAAAATTAAAAATACAAAACAATCAAAGGTCACAGGCTGATCCAGGAAAGGAAGCCGGGGACTTCTGTGCCCTTGCCCAAATCTCCTAGGGCAGTAGTTGGTTCCAGTGCCTGAACTTACCAATCAATGTGTTTTGCCCTGTGCACAAATGGTGCTAGGGTATGTAGGTGAAATGCTGCTGTGGTAGCTGATCCAGAAAATAAGTGCCTCCTTAGTGCAAAATGGGAAAGAGAAATTAGGACATTTACAATGTTTTGGGATGCATTTTCTCCCCTTTCTTTAATGGGCATCACTGCTTATTTGCCTAACCTTGCTAAAGTCGACCTCTCCTCTGTCCCGTGTCTAAATTGTCTTGTTTTCATTCCAGTGAACATGACCTGGGGGAGGATATTTATGACTGCGTCCCCTGTGAAGATGAAGGAGATGATATCTATGAAGATATCATCAAAGTGGAAGTTCAGCAACCCATGGTAACAATTTATGTATCTTTAAAGCCATATCTTGATGGGAATGCAAAAGGAAAAAGAAACGAACCAATGAAAGATAATGATCTGGAGGCACAAATGATCTATTGGCATCATTCTTTGGAAGGGGTCTGCCTTTGTAGAGTCAAAATACCTTCGGGAGAGTGATGGAGCTAGCCCTGTAGGGTTTCTTGAAGGCTTTCCCTGTATCTGAAGAATGGGGGGAAGATGTAATAAATACAAATTGTGAAAAGAGCATAAAAATAGTAACTCACTGCTGAGCCAACACAGCATGTCACTTCATGCCCTTCTATGGGGCGGGTGGGGGGAAGAGAGAGAGAGGACTGATGTTTGCTCAATTAGCCAAATGTGTGTCTTAGGCTGGAGGTATTTTTAGACCCATGCAAGTGTTGACAGATATTTGCAATGAAGCCCCAACTTTCCCTGGGGGATTGTGACAGTACCTGCTTGGAGAGGCAGGTAGATTTTTACAAATGAGACTTTCAAAGCTGAGTTGCCTGCTGGGCATGGAGGGGCTGCCATTGAACTCCCTCCATCAGCTGGAGCAGGAACTCATGCATGCAAATCCATCAGTCACCCATGACAGCCCCAGTTTAAACATAGACAGGGGTGAAACACGTTCACATGGCTCCGGGCTGCGCTCTGCTTGTCTCCGCTCTGCGGCAACACGCCTCGTGCCGGGTGTTCTCACGCTCTGCCCCTCTGCTCCTAGTGCCAGACACCCAACCTGGCAGCAAGTCAGCGAAGCTGTATTGACAGTACCCCAACGCTCAAGCATGCCGGAGACGGAGGCCTCGAAACGTCCCTCTGAGGAGTCGCTTTGCTGCCTCGTTCCCGGGTTTGGAATAGGCAAGCAAGAACTGCTGGGCTGGGCGCGCTGGAGAGAAACTATCCCAGACAGCACCAGGGACACAGTGCGGACATGCTCTGAGCGCCCACTGATGCCGGTGGGAAGACTCCTGTTGACTTCGATGGGCTCTGGATCAATCCTTTAATGCTCTTTTGGTGCCCAGCAGCTTCCTGAAATTTTTGGAGGGTCAAGTTCCTCCTGCCATGGAGAGACCAGGATGAGGTCTGCATGCCCCTTGGATCCCATCCTGTGGTGCAGAAAGTGGGTGCCAGCTCTTCTGCGTGGTGGCTAATGGCACCCTGAAATCATTTACTCAGGGCCCTAACCCAAAGCACACTGTGGGATATTACCCCGACTTCATGGGTAGAGGTGAGGATGGGCTGCTAGGAAAGGCTACCTGTAGAAACTGTTCTCTTAAAACTATTAATTCTGCCTGCTTTTGTACCGGTGCAGCTGGAGGTAAAACTAAAGTTACAGCAGTTTCTCATTTACGCTGGTACAGGAGCAGACAGAAGTAATAGTTAAACTGGAACAGCTGATGCATTTTCCCAAGCAGCAAATCTTTCCCCTTTTAGACAGCTTAAAGTTACATCTGTCCACAGTCTCAAGTGTTTTCCCAAGGGGCCGTTACAGAGCAGCTCGTGGCACAGGAAAGGGGAGGCTGTTTCCCCAGCTAAACATTTCCACTTGCAGCATTTGTCGCTTCCACTGATGCACAATTTAGCAGGATCTCCTCCCGGGAGCGGGAGCTCCCAAACATTTTTGCCTTCCATTTGAAATCCTGCTGCTCACGGGATTGATGTAGAGTCTAATTACTGTCTTCTGGCTGTAAAGTGCAGCTGACAAGATACATAACTCTCTGGGAAAAAGCAGGATAAATGGATAAGTTCACTGGTCAATTAAATTCCCGTAGCTAGACACGAAATTAGGCTGGAGATGGCTTTTGGAGGTGTGGCCCAGCAGAGCTTTGCTTCAGAGTCAGTGAGCTGATGGCTTCCTGATCCTTCTCCAGTTGCCTGCTGTGCAATGCCGTTGACTTGTCTGGAGTTTCTTACAGTTTAACAGGGATCAAAACCCAACCCTGGCCATGAGCGACTGGGAAGACCCACAAGCAGGGCGGTCTTCATTGATGGAGATTCAGATCCCGACTTTAAACGAGCAGGCTCTTCCTCCTGTGAGCTCAGAGCTGCTCTCGATGCAGCACAATGCAACGAAGCAGGGTCCACTGGTAATACGGTACCTCTGGGTTCAACTGCACTGGTGTCGGCCCTGGCGGAAATGGTGATAGTAGCAGATCCATTGGCTACTGATGGTTTTTAGCACTGTGCCACCACCTTTGAGAGCAGCCGTGTCTGTTCATGGACTGATGTAACCAGTGGGAATTCTCCAATGGGGCAAAACTGAAATAAGAAAATCTTCCCCGCTGCAGGTGGTGCCCCCAGATTTCTGGAGTCTGTCAGTGGAGGAAACAGCATCTCCTGCAGTCCTGGGGCTGGGCTCAGAGGCCAGCTCTGGCAGAGATTTTCATATCCCATTTTTCACGTGTAATATTTATTCCCTCTGATGTTTTTATGCTGTGCTGAATGTTGTTATTAATGGCTGATTAATATAATCTTTAGCCTTTGATTTAAAAATCCAATAAACCATTTCCCTTCCTTCAGTATCCTCTGCATAACGACTTTGTGCTGGAAAGTCAATGCACGTGGGTAAAGTATGAAGATGTCAATAAAAATGGAAGTTAAAGGCAGCCCATCAATAATACACATCCATATGCATGCTGGTTTTGGCGGGCAGGATTCGATTCCTGCAAGATTGTTTTGGCCTTTGAAATGGGCATAAGAATGGAGACGTTTCTTTTTCAAGCCTCCAGATGCCTTGAAGGACTGGGATGTTGCGCAGTCTGGTGATCTGGGATGATGTTTTAAACAAGCTGCTCAAAGCCGGCTCCACCATTTCCATTTTGTTTTTTCTCATGACCGAGTCAGGAGGCTCCTGTGTCTCTCTCAGTAGTGGCACAAGTTGAGACCTCCAGCTGTCAGCATCTTTTTAGATACAGCACGGTGACACTGAATTAAGACTAGCCCAGCTCAGCAAGCGGTATGGCAGCCTTCCTTGTGCTGCTGGTTCCTGGAACGTGCTGGAGTTCGCAGCAATCACACCCATAAGGATATGGAAGCAGAGTGTAATTAGCCCATCCTGCAAACCCTGGCTTGCTTTTGCCTGCATTCAGGTTCATATATTCAGAAAGGCTCAACACCCCCAACCTCAACTGCAGTTGCAAACACACAGAGCACATTGGACTTGGAGCTGTTATGACAATAAGGTCCCATTCACGGGTGCAGACCTCCTGACCGGCGCCTCTCCATCCTTCTGTCTTAGGAACAACCCCAGTAATGACACCAAAGACCAAACTGGCAGCATCCTCCACCACATTGGGCAGCAATTGGTTAGATTTTCCAGCAAGGGGCAAACTAACCCTTGTCCTTTTCTCAGAAACCCCTTTAAAAGAGAGCCAGTTTTTCTCCAGGAAGATGCAACTGGGGAACCCATAAGTGAGCTCCTTAAGATGTTTGAGACATGCCTATTGCCTAACAGTGAGTGACTTAAAGAGGTTGGTTAGTCTGGTTTATCAAAAAACATTGAGAAGTGACTTTGATTACAGCGGATAAGTACCATCAGAGAGAGAAAACATTGGTTCTAAAGGGCTCTTTAATCTAGTGGAGAAGCGCACGACAGGAACGAATGACTGACTGTTCAAACCAGACAAATTCAAATTAAAAATCTGGCATGCATTTTTTAACAGGGAGGACTATGAACTGTTGGAACAAACTGCGTGGAAGTCTTTACTGCAAAATTCGAGGCCTTTTGGGCAATGTGCTTTCATGCAGCATAATTCACTGGGTATAATGCAGGAATAACTTGCTGAAATTCAAGGATCTGTGCTATGCAGGATTCAGACTAAAAATCATTTAAAAAAAAAAGGTACAGGAAAGGACCTGAAAAGGTAATTTATCCCATCTTCCTGCCAGGATACCTAAAACCAGCTAGGTGATCTAATGGTCTCTTCTGGCCTGAACATCTCTAAATCTATGAGGAGGCCACTTCTAAAAATAATAATAATAATAAAAGTTTAACTTTATTGAAACCCAGTAGGGCAGTAACTGACTGCAGTGTAGCTACATCAGCCAAAGACTTGGTCTTCAGTATTTTCTTTTAGCTTCTGAGACTTCTCTTAGCAGAAGCGTAAAGCTGTTCGTTCTCACCATAACCTCTTGCACTTGTGTCAGAAGGTGGGGAGATTAATGGACGCTTTTAAAAATGATGGTTTGTGATACCAAGTGTATGATGTTAATTGGTTTTGCTTGTGTTTCTGCATGCTTCAGATTAGATATATGCAGGTAAGTAAGAGACGATGTCCAAGAGTTTGGTTTCTGGCTGGCTGGCGCAGTGTCTCAAACTCTGGTATGGCTTGTGCTAGGTATACAAAGTACAGCGTGAAGCAGAAGCGGTAATGCTCAAATGCTGTGCATATAAATACATGATAGCAAATTCCCTTTCCCCTGCCTTTAAAATTATGCATCTGCAAACCCCATGACATTTGCAAAGATAAGTTTGGAGTTCATAATATCTACCTTGCTCACAAGCCAGCGAGAGTCATGTTTGCCTCTCTTGTACAGCCAGGAGGGCTGGAATCTTATTTTGCTGCAAAAGGGAATTATGGGCATCCAAAGTGGTGGGTATAGCAATACCGCCTCCAGGGCCACCTTGGGGGTTTAAGCCAGGAAACATACCCTGCCTGTTTCCTCATGCTCTGCACAGTGAAAAATATTGTGTTCACTGTTACAGCTGTTCCAGGCATGCTCAGCATCACTCTTAGCTCCTGAGACAGAGATCCTGAATGCATCCCTGAGCACGCAGCAGTTAGCAGCGAGCACCATTTTTGGCCAGGATCGTGCATGGCGCGGGAGCAAGCGGGTGTAGTTTCTGGGCAGTTGGTTCCAGGTTTCCCAAGGAAGATGACGCAGGGAGTATGTGAATGGTGCTTGTCCTCCTGGCAAATGTTTTGAAATCAATATGGAGGAGGCGTTGACATAGCCTGGGAGATCACATGACTCCCAGAGCTGAGTCTTTAAAGGAAAAAAAGTTACTGCTAACCTGAGGATAAAAGCGCCAGAATTGGAAACACTAGCAAAGGACCTATACAAGAGGAGTGTTTTGGGGCCCCATGTCTGCCCTATCGTGGAGGTCATCCTAAGCAAACAAGCTGAAAAAACCAAGACCCTTTGCCTTATACATGGTCACGTTAGGGGACATAGCTGGAGTAAATACAGCGGGTGGAGTTCTGGTCTCCTCAAAGCCAGTGAGAGATTTGCTATTATTTTAGGCGGACCTGGGATCTTACCCGAGAAGTTTTTAGGCAGCAATGGATCCCTTGGACACGATGGAAAATTTGGTTCAGCATGTCCTGAGCGTGCATTGGTTGGGAGTTTGCTCTCACTGCCTGCCACGTTAAACATCCAGCATCAATGAGCAGGTAGAAGCACTCTGAGGACATCCAGACATGGGTTGTTTTCTTTTTGCAGAAAATGGGAATGACAGAAGATGACAAAAGAAATTGCTGTTTGCTAGAAATCCAGGAAACTGAGGCCAAATACTACAAAACACTTGAAGACATAGAAAAGGTGAGAGCTGAGCCTTTTTCTATCGCCCTATTTTACGAGAGGCTTCAGATTGAATTTGATTTTGCATTAATCTTGCAAGACTAGTTTCTGCTGCTTAGAGCTCCATAGTGCTTGGTGGTTATGACGGGGATAGGATTGATGCACTCAGACATAATTTACAGGAGCGTGGAAGATGTAGAAAACCCATGCTGAGTACCATAAGTGCACAGTGTGGACCCACATGAAAAGATAGCATGTTTTTATGTGATCGCTGCACTAAATACACTAAAAGCCAGCCTGCTACTTCAGAAGGGTATTCTCCCCCCCCAGCAGTAAAAGACTCCCACTTCTTACATAGCCAAGGCTGGGTTCTTAGGCTAAACCTAGCTTTTGTTGATCTCTTATCACTCTTTGATTGCTCCTGAATCATTTGAAAGAATTTCTTTATTGCAGGCATTTGAAAGTGCTGAAGCCATGCTGGCTTGTCATTGAAACTAATTGGATTAAAAATAACATTTCGCTGCATGCATTCATGGACTTTAATTGGTTTTGATGAATTATAGTTGTATCTCCTCTTTAACAAATGAACATTTCAACAATCAAATGATACAATGCATGCTGCTAGAAACAGGTTATTATTTTTCCCTTCAGTGATTATGGTAAAGTAGAAGTTAAAAAAATATATATATATATGTATCTCTCTCTCTCAAGGTATTGTTTCTAATTGTCTTCCTGCTTCTATTTCCTTTCCCTTTAAAATTGTTTCCCTTTCTTATGTAAAAATGTGCTGAAAGTTCTTGGAAGAAGCTCCGAGTGTGACCAGCACAATAAAACAATATTCCACGCTTTTAAAAGAAAGGCTTTGACATAGATATTACTCATGTACATATTACTCGGTCTTTGAAAACAGCTATTAACCTTGTATTTCAAGCCAGAGGAAGTTAAATAATTGCCTTTGGTATGAAATATGAGATCTTGCTCAAGGCTGAATAGATTGTGATGCCTGTTGTGGTGCAGAAGCTCATGTAAGAAGGTGTATTGCATCTCTGTGGTTTGCCGTTATGAACGGGGCAGGCATGTCTGTTAAAATGCATTAGTTTGAAAAAGCGTTTCCAGTGTAGTTATGTTGTATGTGTTCCTCAAGGACAAAAATCCAAGCCAGCTCAGAGTTGCTCCCACTAAGACAGCCGAAGAGCTAAAGCAGATTAAATTGTGAATCGCTGGGGGTTGTTATTTTGTGAAGAAGCCAGCATATCATAAAAAAAAAATTCTACCACTTACATTGCAATGCTGGACATACCGTCTTGTGAATAAGATCCTGAATCGCCTCTCTTTCCTTTCTGAATGGAAAGGATATTTAAGTAGGGTAGGGCACAGATACCAAGATTAGGCAGGATGGAAACCAAACAAGCCATTGCTCTGAGGAACTACAGCATCAGGAGTTTGCTTTGCATGTGTATTTACTGTTGTAATGTGCAGGTGTGTGCAGGGAGGGCTTAGAAAGGATTGCACACGTGCACCTGAATCCTTTTGTTCTGGTGAAGAAAGGTCCATGCACACACCTTAGTTATGTCCAATTTCTTGTGCAGGTGACTTAGGGGCCTGGGAGGCAAGATTTATGAGGACAGACTGAAAAAAGGAGGGTTATTTGGATTGGAGAAGAGAAGGCTGAGGGGGCATTTGATATGAATCTTCAAGATACCTGAGGGGTGATTACAGAGAGGATGGAGATGAGCTTTTTCTGTAGGGGATAGGACTAGGAGCAACGGCCTCAAGCTGCAGCAGGGGAAGTTTAGGTTGGAGATGAGGAACTCTCTGCTCTGAGGGTGGTCAAGCATTGGAAGAAGCTGCCTGGGGAAACTAGACTCCATCCTTGAAAATTTCCAAGAGCAGATGAGAAGACACTTGGCTGGGATGGCTTGGACAGGAATAATCTTGCCTTGAGCAAGGGACTGGATTAGATCTCGTGAGGGTCCTTCCAGCCTTACTTCCCTACGCTCCTGTGTATATAGAGCTGTGCCTTTCATGCATGGAGCTACTTAGTGGGGAAGAATCTCTTTAAGGTATTCCAAGACATTTTGCATATCCCCCTAGCCCCGCGATCCTTTCATTGACTCTTCCATAGTGCTTCTTCTCCTCTTGCCCTTTTAGGAGCCAGGATGTAATCCACAGGAAGCCTGTGCTGTTGACTTGCATTCATTGCATTATCATTTAAAGAGTCCCTCAGTCAGGTGGCATTGAACTCCTCCGCCTTCCAGTACTTGCATACGAGAAACCCTTGACAGCCCAACTACCAGGCAACAAGGCGTCTTAGTGTTTCAGTTCCAGACAGGGCAGTCTTAAGCCAGTGAGAGTTGGGGGGGGGGATTTTTCATATTCCAGGTGAAATGAGCCAAATCAGTTCCAAATCCTCTTGATTGAGCAAAACTCTCAATTGTTCAAACACCCAATGTGACACTCCAACTGGCAAGTATCCTCCACCCCACTTTGCAGCGAGAGATGCTGCAGCTGGCAGGCATTGCAAAGCAGAGACTGCTTTGCTTGTCTGTGCTGCCGTGACCGGGTTTTAACAAGATCTTGTCACTCTTCTCCCTTTAGAAGCTCTAAAATTCATCAAGACCCTCCCTGCGCCAAATGTGTAACGGATGAAACAATTCCGGTCTCATCAGAAGGAAATGCATTGCTTCTGCCTTTATTGAAACCGGTTTCTCATTTCCCTCCTGCAGAATTACATGAATCCACTGAAGCTGGTACTCACTCCACAAGACATGGAAGCTATTTTTATCAATTTGGAGGTAATAGAGTAAACATCGTGGCTTAAATCATCGCTCTGCTCAAGTACAGCTTACATGGAGAAGCTATTCAGGTTTCATGTAAAATTCATGGCTGCAGTCCTCCTGGGCCATAGAGCTTGAATGAGCTTCAGATTAGGTCCCTTAGCCTTTATCTCAAAAGTGGGGCTTAGATAGTACATACGGAGTAGATAAGGGAACAGTTTGATATCAAGGGAATCACTTGGCTAGCGATAGTGTTTTCTCCCCCTGTGTGGTCCAGAGGGTCTGATTTACAGTTTACATAAAACAGGGAGTATGGGCCACACTGAGCTGGGACTCAGGCTTGGGTTTTATCCCCAGCTCTGCCACTGACTTGCTTGGTGGCCTTGGACAAGTCACTTCACTTCTCTGTTGCTCCGTCCCATCTGTAACTTGGGGTGTCACGAGAGCTGCCTTCCTTCGAAGGTGCATTGAGACCTATGGTGGAAGGTGCTCTCTAGAAACTGTGTATTACTCTTCCGGATGTGAACACACGCACAGTCCAGGTCAACATTCAGTGTGAGCCTGCAGTTAATTCATTCTCCAGCATTTCTCAGCCTCTCTCGGTGTTATCCCACTGCAAGATCAAATACACAATGGTGCTGTTTGGTGGGGTGGGGTCTTTGTATAAACTCAGATAATTTAGATAATTAACATATCTGAAGATGAAAAGGTGTTGGTTTTTTAAAGGAGAGGCATGCAACAGAGTTTGTTTCACTCTGAGGCATCTGACCCTTCTTTTTGTATAAAAAAAATCCCTCTCCCAGCCAGGTTAACAGATGGCTAAATTCTCTTAAGGGCTTAATAAGTGGAGATTCAGCCCCGGGCAGAAGGTTAGCACAAGGCCTGGGAAATAATTAAGTCCCACTTAAGCAAGGTTAATTCATGTGCTGGTCCTCTACCCTGGGGGAATTCATCCTTCATGCAGAACCTCTGATCAAGTCCATTAGGATCGCAGGTGCAGCTTGCTTTTCACATCCAGCCTCCTGTTCAGTTCTTTTTTTGGGGTCTTGGACAGAAAAGCATCTCCCTCCCTTCTCCTGACCAATACCTTTGCCCCCACCTCTCCAAGTGGCCAGGCCCACCTCCTGCACCCAGTGTCCTCTATGATCTCATCTGAGTGCTGTTCGGGATCATGTTAGGATTTTCTTCCCCACAACTCCCTGTGCTAATGTTGTCCAAAATGGCTGGTTGACTGAGCGACCAGCAGAAGTAGAGAGCAGCATGAGTCTCGGTGGATGTTTGAGTGTGCAGCACTAAGAAAAAAGACACTCAGTGATTTACCTTGGTGAAGGGCTTATCCTCCAGCAGTTTAGGGAGCTTCAGCAGACTGAACCCTAAACCCCCATTGCTTAAAAAATGTGCCTGTGAATTGCCTGGCGCATAGAGGGGATTTAATAGCAGCCTTCAAGTACCTGAAGGGGGGTTCAAAAGAGGATGGAGCTGGACTGTGCTCAGTGGGGACAGATGACAGAACAAGGAGCAACAGGATCAAGTTGCAACAAGGGAGGTTTAGGTTAGATGTCAGGAAAAAAATTCTCATATGGAGGGTAGTAAAACCCTGGAACAGGTCACCCAGATAGGTGGTGGATGCTCCATCCTTGGAGGTGTTTAAGACCTGGGTAGACAAAGCCCTGGCTGGGATGATGTAGTTGGGGCTGGTCCTGCAGGGGGTTGGACTAGATGTGACCTCCTGAGATCCAACCCTGAATGATTCTATGACGTGCCGAGAGCCAGGCTTGTTGATTTTTAAATGCATCTATCATTTCTTTTTTTAGGACCTCATTAAAGTGCACTTCAATTTCCTGAGAGCCATCGATGTGTCTATGATGTCTGGAGGAAGCAGCTTGGCAAAAGTGTTTCTGGAATTTAAAGAAAGGTAAAAAGAAGGAAAGAAGAACCCAGTGCGTACCCAGCTCTAATCTCAACAAGCCGTCACTAATAAGGGCATATCATCATAGGGAGAAACCATGAAAGGAGAATGCCAATCTTGACAAGCCACTGGCCTGGCCCATCCTCTGCCACAACACTGTCCATCAGGATTTGTGCCCATACATGGGGATGTGGGGGGACATGTCTCTTAAATGCTGCAAGGAGAGGAAGGATCCTGCTGGTATAAAAAGAGAACACAAGATGCAAGCAGCCCTGTAACCAAATGAGCCTTTTTGCCCAGATCCTTAGCTGGGATAAATCAGCCAACTCCACTGATGTAAAAAGAAGCTGCACATATTTCTGCAAGTGGAGGGCCTCATCTGGTATACAGACAGGTTGCATGTGCATGAATAGAGCTGTACAAGGTCCCCAGTCCATGGCGGTACCCTCAGGACTCTCCAGAATAAGTCTTCTGTTATAACACTAGATGTTCTGGGGTCCCGATATCCTGCTCATTGTAGGCAGCACAAGAAGACCCTGCTCTTTCCATATGCAAGTCCTGATTTAGTGCCAGTGCAGTACTGGGGCACTTGGGACTCAACGTGTTGTCTGCTTTTCTCTGTGGCTTTCCAAAGCACCTGTGCTACGCATTGATAGTTCAGTGGTTGCCTGAACCGAATTGCATCAATAGTTATGAGTTAAATCTCATCTTGTCTTCTGGTCTCAAAACACAGCTCATGCTAATTGCAAAGAGGGTGATGGCTTCAGGAAACAACAGTCTCAAGGGCAGTAACTTGTAGGTAGTCAGTTGTCCTGCAGTCTCCTTCCCAAGCCTGGTATTGTTACCTGGTTCCCGGGTGTATTGCATGGATGACTTTCTCTCCTGGTTGCTAGTTCCCTCCATGTCTTTGATATAACTGAGAGAGAGAGAGAGAGGGGCTTACGTTGGTCTCTGAGGTCAGAGGCAGAGTGGGCCAACCTTTTCCCATACACCATTGTGTTGTGGCCTGGGTTTGTCTGTTGTGGAGGCTGTCCACCTGGCAGTCAGATTCACAGGAGAATAAAGATTAGAGGATTTAACTTAGGATACCAGGAGTCAACGAGAAGAGAGAGCATGGAGCATCTCACGTATGTCTCTGTAGGCACAGGGCACTTTGCTCTTGTTAGATCCAAGTGATTGTTCTCAATGCAGATTAGTGTGTCTGGCAAGTTTGACGTCTGGCACCTATAGGATGATTAATGCACTTAGAGCCTAGTTTAAAAAACAGAAGATTCTGAATTTTGGGAGCTGCAAACAGGAGTTTCCAGGAACAAGCAGATAAGTTTAAATTAAACCCCTGAAGCCCTTTAATAATAATCAAAGGCACTGTGGAATAATGCCAAGGTGTTATTTCATTGTGATTAAACCCAGTGTCTAGACATGAAAATGCCATTCTGAAGTCAATAACTCCTGAAATACCATCTGCATTCATAAGACACCATTAGGTCAAACATTCAGTTGTTCACAATGCTGCTTTTAGAAAGTATGTGCCCTTTGGATTAAAAAAAAAAAAAATTAGTTGTTCAAAAGAAGAATGCCAAATCATTTAAAAACCTCATAAGAATGACTTGTATCTTTCTTATCTCATCATTCTTGGCTTTGCTCACACTCAAACAATTCAGTACCACCCTGTTGGCAGCAGCCCCTTCCAGGCACTGTAGCCCAGGCCTGGGTTTAGGAGAGGTCCTGTATGGCGACGGTAGATAGCACAGGTGTGATGGTCATCAGTCTGGGACTTGGGGAACCACCTCAGTGTAAATTCCCCTTCATATTTTTTACCAGCCTTGTCTTTTCTTTTCTGTGAACGTCACAAGGTGGGACTGATTTTTTTTTTTTTTTTTTT